TCGCACTTGACATCCTGACGACGACTTGTCCTATTGTAATAAAAGAACTTTACAAATTATTGTAGAGTTGATTTAATACCTAGATGTTAGTATGTTACAAGTTACAAAACACTTACCAAGTCGAGCATCTTAACATAATATCACGACCGATGRTTATACTTATAAACATTTTTACACACATATTATAGCCAAATATTGTAATGCGATTTCCCAATTGTGAGTGACGGTAGATAAATTGACTATGAAGAAACCGGATTAATAAAAAAAAAATCGCCGCGCTGTTTTTCGTCCGACAACTCTTTGTGCACGTAGTTTTTTCGTCCGATGGATATTTTTGAGGTTATGAATTTACCCGCTAAAAATGTGTTATCTTCGAACACGATAAAATAAATTAATAAAGCTATCTAAACATTCTAAACTACCTATCTGGAAACTGGAATAACGAGACGACGATACGAAATCTTGGAAATTTTAAATTTTAACTCACAGTCGACACCCGCTATGAAGTGGACAATGGACATTGCCGTGACTATTATTATGTGATACTTCCATTATTTTTATTTCATCGGGTTATTGGTCGTCTCGCTTTTCGCGTCGATAAAAACATTTTCGTGACACTCAATTTCCGCGGTGAACGAGAACAATGGATAACGACTCGCCGAACTTGTTCGACAGCGAACCGATGGAGGTGAAGCTGAATTTTGCCGAAAACAAGGACGACGTCTTGGCCGATATTTTAGAGGAAATACACGATGAAGACCGCACTGCCGCACCTGCCGAAGAAAACGCCGTCGAACTGCCGACCGACGGTGTCGTCGACGAACCACTTGTTGACACTGTCGAGTATCACACCGACGAAGACGACCTCGCGGCCGACGATCCACCGGCGGGTGCCGACCCCAAACACTCGACTGGATCGCCGAAAGACGGTTCCCCGGCCGCCAAGACGAAAGATGTCCACAAGGGATTGCCGCCCGGCCGCGTAAAGCTCATCATGAAAATGGACCCCGACGTCAATATAGTGGCCGGAGAAGCAGTGTTCCTGGTCACAAAGGCGACGGTAAGAGCTGCTSAACAAACACCCAAAACCGTGTAAATTCACGTTGCTCGTTTTTTTGATCTGCAGGAGCATTTTGTCGGGATTTTGGCGCAACACTGTCACAAAGCGATGGTGGCCACCAACAAGAAGACTCTGCAAAAAAAGCATATCGACGCCGTGATTGAAGACAACGTTCCGTTTGAATTTTTAGAAGGCACATTAGATTGGTAAAATCGTTTTGATTATGCGCACGATTTTTTTTTTTTACTCTTTATGTATTATTTTGTAATATACCTTGTAACGTATTTATAAATTTAACATATCGACATAGCAATATTGATTTGTATAGAACAATAACATGTGTCTAACACTGACCATACGTGCAGTGTTTTTTTTT